AGGTAAACAATTTAGAATATATCCAGTGAATGTCTAGTTTAATTTTAAGGTAAAGTAATTTTGATTTTGTTTCTGCATCTTAATAATAATTAACCACAGTTCATTGTTAGCTGCTATGCCAGGGACTTTATATGTTGTTTTATTAATATTTTATTTTTATAAAAGATATATTTATAGTAACAGTTACAAACGGCACAGAAAGTAAGATGTGAAAGTCTTCGTCTCCCTCTTTCCAGATGGCCCAGTCCAACAGGGAGCAATGTTAGCATTTTCTTCTGTCCTCTAGAAATGTCCTAACCTTGTATAGATATCTGTCCTCCCCTTTTAAAACCAGATAAATTCTTATAAGCTGTTCTGCAGCTAGGTTTTATTTATACATAACCATGACTAGTTCTTTCCATAGCAGTACATACAGGTCTAACTCATCCTTTTTCGTTGTGAAGAATACTCCTCAGTGTATCAGTAAGATAATAATTGAGGTAGTTTCCAGCATGCACTGCTGCAGCCAGTGGTGTTCAGCAGTTTTATGCATTCACATATCTTTACACAGATGTGTATCTTTGTTCAAGGATACCCAAAGGATTCATTCCTTGATGTAGAATTGTGGATCAAAGGATAAGGGCATTTAAAATTTGGTAGCGAACACCATGCTACTCTCTTGGAAAGTTGTACCAGTTTGGAATTTAAACAAAATCAACTGTAAGTGGAAACCAAGACATATAATAGGAATGTGTACGAGTTACTTGGCCCAGGATCTTACTGTTAGAAACCGATAGAGTAAACTTCCAAACTCAAATTTACCATTGCCATTTTTTCCTAACCTATAGATGTCTCAGTTGCCATTTTAAATGAAATTTTGGCTTTAAAACTAAGAAACACCATTCCATGTTTTCTTAATGTCATTATCATCCAATCAAACAATAATGTCAGTTTTTTATATTGTTAGTGCCTAGATCTTTATGACTTTCAAAACATTTCAGAATTCTCAGTAATCCTATAAGATGGAAAGTGTTTAAAAGGAAAAAAAAAAAAAAGGAAATGTAAATTTTTTATCAAAATGGAAAATGGCCCCAAACTGCCAAAGTACACAGGACATGAAAACGCTGTCCTAAAAGGTAAAACATGGGGTGTGAGAATAGTGGCTTTGATGTGTTAATATTGACATGTTCTGTTGCTGAACAGCAGGAGATACACTGAAATATTTGACCACAGGGCCCTGTCACCTCAAGCCAGCACCTTAACAATGGTTTTCTTTTGGCAGCCCTTGTGTGTTATGGCCCTGGGAAAAACAGGTGATTTAAACACTGCAGTCTTTTATAGCTATTCATTGTATTTGCCCAAAACTTATTTTAAACTCATACCATAAATACTATTATCGTTGCATTTGTAATTGCAGAGCATTATATTTATCAAAACACCTTGGCAGAAGTAAATGCTATTAACATTTTCTTTCAGGAACTTCGTATTTTGTTTGAGTGTGCTGGTTCTTCCTCTATATCTTCTCTTTTTTTCTGTTACTTCTCTTCCGTTTAGACTCAAACTCGGTTTCTCACTCTCATTTATCTCACATGTAAAGAAAGGTCTTTCTCTGTAGTTGTTGTTGTTGGTAAGAGCTATCAAGTCAGTTCCTACCCATAGCGACCCTGTGTAGGGTTTCCAAGAACATCTGGCGAGTTTGAAGCGCCTACCTTGCAGTTTAAACTGAAGTTGCAGTCCAGCGCATTAACCCTCACCGCCACCCCAGGACTCCTAAGGATAAGTCTGGATTCAGATAGAAACTTTGACATTCTCCTACCACCAGGACCCCTTTACAGATGCATCCCCTGAACAATATCTGTGAACATTTCTTCAAGTTATTTTTCTGTATTTACTTGTCATAAGTTTTTTTAATTAAGTATATTTGATTCCCATTTTGAGTAAAGAAACCAAGTTGTAGAAAGCTCACGATCCTATCCACTAGTTTCTACTTCATTGCAAGAAGTCCCTAAGTAACAAACAGATTGAGTTCCAAAAACTCATTTGTAAGTCAGTTATTTGGCACTTGAACTGCATTTTACCACACTGGAAATTTTCAAAAAAGCTATAAAGGGTGATTAGGTCCCTCCACTGAGCTACAAAACTCTATTGAATTTTTATGTAATTAAGAAATGCATTTGCAATCCTGGTTAAGAAGAAAGAAAGAAAAATTATTTCTCCTAAGGAAAAGTAGATTTAATTAGAAGATAGGAAAACATGAAATTTGTGGGAGATTTCAAGGCATTTTCCATGGGTGTTAAAAATTGAAGCCTCGCTGTTTTAAACTCCGTTTCACTTTAAAACTTTGAGGATTTCTTGTTGGTGGTGCTGTTCAGATACTTCTCACTAGCCTAACTCACCCTACAGCAGTGAATAGAGAGAGAGGATTAACTAGATTAAATACATACAAAAAAATAGACTCCTTTAAATGATGGTAACCAACCTAGGATAGTAGAAACAAGTCCACAAAACCAGAACAAGTATTCCTTACTTCAGTCTCATGGAAAGGGAGGAGGGGCTAGAAGGGTGATACTGTTTTTCCACTCATCCCAACACCCCCCCTCAGCTGGGGGCTGGGGTAGGGGGTAGGTGGAGGCATGGGTTTGTGTGACTGGCCAGTGGCCAGTGGTGGTGTGTGTGTGTGTGCGGTATTTGTACAGTGAGAATTTCTAATTTGGAAAAATGGGTGCCTTTATCATAGCTACTGATTACTTCCTGTATTGTATAGACTGTCTTACACTTAAGCATACAAATTCCAGTTAACTTTTTTAACGCTTAGGACTTCTTAAATGTCCCTTAGCAAGCAAATGAACACACACATACACATATAATACACTCATACATGTTATAAAACATTTGCACACAGCTTTCTCATTTGGTGACAGCAAAAGGGAGAGACTATATTCTTCAGTAAATACAAAATAACAAGCTTAAGTGAGAAGATCCTTTCGACATGGTACGTTAAGAAAATTACAGAAGAAGGATTAGAATTTCTGCCTCCTGGGTCAGATTAGAACTCTCCTCATACTTGAACTGATTTCCACTAGTTAAATACTGCATTTAGCTCTTGCTTTGTCTCGGATATAGGTGGGAACATATAAAAAAGCTCACAGAAAATGAGATGAAAAGATACTGGAGTCCTTCCACAAACTTTATGAAGCCCCCTCCTGTTATCTGCATGTCTTATACACTGGTTATTTATATCCCGGAGAGATTAGATGAAGAGAACAATTGTATTTACTACAAGAATTCAGAAGCCCTTTCCACATAAAAAGATGTTTGGGATTGGTGGGCCACTTTCAAAAGTTATGTTAAAATAAAGTAACATGTACTTGATTTTATTTATGTTTTATGCTTTTAAATTCTTTGTCCTTCCTCACAAATCATTTGTAAAGAAACGTTTGCATCCACATTAATTCTTCTATTTTTAATAGTGTCAAAGTCTGTGTAACTGGATTTGTGCATGTGTGTGTTTGAGGAATTTTATCTGAAAGGTAAATAAATTAATAATTTTAATTGCATCCTAACACAATGAGTATTTTCTGGGTCAAGAGTTTAGATTGAAGCTATGCATTCTACTGGCATGTTCTGCTCAGAAATGCCACTGCTGAATAGTTAGCATATAAGGTACACAGTTTTCTTCCCCATAGTGATCCAAGTTTATGATGTTAGATTACTATGCACTCAGATTGAAAAACTGTGATTTTGTCTCTCTCTGGGTACTTGAGTGTCTTCCACTTGCATGTGGAGAGACTAGAGAGAGATTATCCAGAAACTGTCTCCAGAATGCTATGTTTAGGTGGGTTAGTGAGCCAAATTATGTTTTTCTTTTTTCTCACTAGAGTTCATGTATAGGTTAAATATACCAGCAGCATTTAGCGGCCTATTTTCTTTACTGTAAATCCCTGAATTTTGTGTGTGTTGCTTGGAGTGTGGTGATTTAAGGGAAGAAGAAGGACATTGTTTTTGCTTTTGTCTGGACAGAGTTCTGCCAGAAGCAAATCCCACCCATAGTATTTTTTTCTCATTATGCTACCTGTGGTACATAACATAGCAAACAAATTAATAAGTTTGTGGTTGGGTGAAATGTTTATTCATTATTTTTCTTAGCATTATATTCATTGGCTTAGAGGACAAAACGATTGCAGCTAATGTTTTAATTGTCATCATTCTTAGCTGAACTAATTGATTTTTATTTTCTTTTGGATATTCTCATTTGGAGACTTGGGTGACTTAGAGAAAGAATTTGTTTTCTTGAGACACTGCTCACCCACCCACCCCTCATGGCATTGCCTCCTGAGAGTAGAAGCCAAGGCCCCACCAGAGCATGGATTTTCTAATAAGATTATTTAACTGACTTTGACCTGTTCGCTTGTTTGTCTTCATTTTCCCAATCACTCCTACCTCAGAACAACATGACATTGTTTCAGAGTTAAAAGATAACAGTATCCTCTCTCTTCCTCTCTGCCCCCATTCCAAAATGTTTTAATTTGTAACTGATGGTTGAACATCTAAAGAACCCTGGTGGTGTACATGGTTAAATATTCAGCTGCTAACCCAAAGGTTGTGGTTCAAACTCACCCAGCAGTTCTGCAGGAAAAAGACCTGACGATCTGCTTCTTTAAAGCTGATAACCAAGACAACTCCATTTGGAGGTTCTAGCCTGTGACATGGGGTCAGAATGGGTCAGAATCGACTTGATGATGTGCAACAACAGTAGTACTGTACAGCTAGGACTGGGAGAGAGGATAGGCTCTGAGAGAGCTGGAGGAGGGAATGTGATCACTAGGGACAAGGGGAGAGCAGGAGAGCTTCTGTGCTGACTGGTTCTGTTGCAAGTGCTGCTGAGCTTCCTCCACTCCTTCCCAGCTCCTCCAATAACTCTCCAAATGTTGTTTTAAAATAGCTTACCCTGTGTTTTCTCTGTCTTTGCCTGCCTGACTGTAACTGGCTGATTTTGCATCTTTTCCTTTCTTAGGGTCAAAGCAGTGGAGCATGGCTATGAGCAATGGAAACCATGATTTTGTGATTCTGAGCAACGGCAGCATCGCAACCAGTGCTACCAGCCCTAGTCCCCTCACTCCCTGTGATGGAGACCTTGAAGCCCAGCAGCTCACACCCAAAGAAGCACCAAGGACAAAAGTGAGTCCAAATGGATGCCTGCAAGTTAATGGCACAGTTAAATCATCCTTTCTGCCTCTAGACAACCAAAGAGCGCCTCAGATGTTAGCCCAGTGCTGCCATCCTTGCCCATATCATCACCCGCTGACTAGCCATAACAGTCACCAAGAGTGCCAGGCTGAGGCTGGCCCTGCAGCATCCTCCGCTTTGGCCTCGTGTTGCATGCAGCCACACTCAGAATACTCTGCATCTCTTTGTCCAAACCATTCACCTGTTTATCAGACTACGTGCTGTCTTCAGCCCTCTCCATCCTTCTGCCTGCATCATCCGTGGCCTGACCATTTTCAGCATCAGCCTGTGCAACAGCATATAGCCAACATAAGGTGAGTGCTCTGAAAGTTTTACTGACCTTTGGGATTCAATTAATGACACATGAATGTGACTGCTTATGTTCATTGCCCCAAAAAGAAAAGAGAAAAATGTGCCAAAGAAAGCCAATGAAAATGAATAACTTGAGAGAGATTATGTGAAGGATATCACATTCAAATGAAATAAAATTTTATGTTTTATCCACTGACTTCTTAGTGAATTATGCCCTTTCTTTTCTCTTCCATCTCCGTAAACTGTCAAGAGGTCCCTCCTAAAACTTGAGTTGTAACGTTCACTAAAAGATTTTAATGTTATCAATTTCTGTCATGATACAAAGGAGATATATTTCTAATGAGGCTGTTTAGCAGGACTCCTTTCATTGTAATTTCTAGTGAGTAGCCTTTACAAAAAATAAATATAAAATCAGTTGCTTCTTTATGCTTCCTTTTGACTTTACTCAAGATCTGTTCATGTGGTTTGGGTGACTATGCAGTATATTGAGATCAAACATAATCAACTATTTCTTTCATAACAGATGAGACCTGCACATCTGTCGCAAAAGACTTAAAATACTTTTTGTTAAGCATTTTCAGATGGGTAGATGGAAAATGCAGGAAAAATCCACATCATTGTCAGTCTTCACCTATAAGTTACTTTATGTGATTTTCAGTTATTTTTTCCATGGATTAAATAGCATGTACCATAAATATGCAGCGATAAAATATGAGTGTTTTACCAAATGTGAAGTACTTTGTAGAGACCAAATAGTGTTTTACTCTTTTAGGTAATAAAAATTTTTTAAAGAGCTGGAAAATAACATTCTTTTTTTAAAATTGGAGTGTAATTTGTATACAGGAAAATGCATAGATCTTACATGCATAGTTTGATCAGTTTTGACAAATACACACACTAATATAGTCCACACCCCTGTCCTGCCCCCTCTCAATGAGTCTCTCTTCTCACGAGAAGCAATCGCTGTTCTCAGCCCTATCATCATAGATTCGTTTCACCTGCTCAAGAATTTCAAATACATTGAGTTAGATAGTATGTACTGTGTGTCTTCTAGTTTTCCCCCACCATAAAGTATTTTGAGAGTCCTCTAATTGTTCTGTTAGATTTCCATTTTGTTGCTGAATAGTGTTCCATGGTATGCATGGAGTAAATTCACTTCTTTTAAAAAATTGTGTTATTGTAGTAAAAGTATATATAGCAAAACATCTACCAAGTTACCATCTTTTAACCTGGACAACTTAGTGACATTGGTTATGTGCATCATGTTGTGCAACCATCACCACTTCCTGTTTCTAAATTATCCCACCACCCTTAAACAGGAATGCAGTACAAGGATTCCTCCTCTCCCCCTTTCTTCCACACTTAGTAAACTAATACATTTTGGTCTCCATACTTTCATTATTTTATATAAATGTGATTTACAGTATTTGTCCTTTTGTGACTGACTTACTGCACCTTTCCAGGTTTATCCATGTTGTAGCATGTGTCAGAACTTCATTTCTTCTGCTGACTGAGTAGTGTTCTATTGTATGTATGCACATTTTGTTCATCCATCTGTTGGTGGACATTTAGGCTGTTTCCATCTTTTGACTATTGTGAACTGTACTGAAGTAAACAGTGGTGTACAAGTTAGCAAATATGTTTAATTAAAGAGTCAGATCCAGAAACTAATCAAGTGAGAAATACTTTTGACCTTTGACATATGTCAAGATTATCTGATTTTATTCTTTTAGAGAGAGATGGCATATGAACTCCTCTGTAGCATGTTTCTACAGGTTTTGAATGCATTGTCCCTATCGGACTTTGAGAGCTTTTAAGCTATAAAATTATGATTTTAAAAAAACCTCCAGCAAAACCATTGGACAGTAGTTTAGTTAAAGTTTTAGACTCTTTCTATTTTGAAAAGGTTGATTTAAAAATGATATGATGATAAAGATAGATGTTAGTGAATCATAAATTATGTGGTTGTAGAGTGTGAGATAGGATAGGTAGCTTTTAAAAATATGAAACTATGGACATGTAACAAATCTTTCAGCATGGCAGGTTACGTAACAATTTTCAGAACCCTAACATAGCATTTCTAGATGATATTAATTTAAAGGACTATGAACTCTATAATTTTAAATCGAATGCTACTAAAAGATAGACTAATAAAATAGCATATTTTTCTACCAGGAAAAGTTGTAGACGAAAGTGGAACATGGTGAGAATTTTTATGTTTTACAATCTTATTGCAAGAATACTATCTTTTAAAGATGCCTACAAAGGAATGCTATATATCACCAGCTATATCTGTTACATACTTTACTATGAAATATGTACCTTAGGAATTACTTTCTAGTTTTCTACAGTTTTTGATTCAATCAACAGTATTTATTGAATATCTGTGTGTGCCAAGCTTAGAAGATTTAGTTCTAAACAAGATAAGACACTTGCCTTGTCTATATATATCCTGAAAGCCATCAGGTAGCTGCAGTATAGAAATAAGTATTACCAAGAAGGCCCAGGCAGGACTGAAGATGAACAGAAGATACAGGTGGAAACAGATTGGAGGAGGCAACATTTCCATAAACTCGTTATGAAAATTCAGTGATTTGGAAAAATAGCCATTTGAGTTTTGTTTAAAATTTGTTATTAGCCTGACATCAAAATGTTGGGGCTTTTTTCCCCATGGTACAAAAATATTCTTTTTTTTTTTTCCCCTATTTTCTTTTGAATGCACCCTAATGAGACTATAGATGTTTTACTGATAGAACTTGTCTGTAGTAACTGATCATGGAGACATGTTTAAACATGTTTTGTTTGGAATAAACTCATATATGCATGAACTGGAATCCTAGCAGCAACACTTGTTCTTATTTATTAATTTATATTTATATGTTTTTTTTTTATTTTTCCTACTAGATTCTATCCTGTAAGTTCAGATAGCTGTGCAGTAGAAACAGACAAGAACTCTAGGAGTTCAGAAGCAGGAAGGGTCCCTGTGTGCACACAAGGTGCAAAGGATAGTCTGACTGAGAAAAGAAACCTTGAGAAGCCCTTGAAGAATGCTAGGAATTAATGAAGGAGGAGCTGGAAGGTGGAGGAGGTGAGTCAGTGTTGTAAGATGAAGACAGGCTAAAATAAAAGCATGTTTAAAGAAGGAGTAAAGAGGGCAGGCTGCTGGAGTGGAGGTAGCATTTAGGGTGGTCATGAGAGATAGCTTTACATATTGCCTTGTTCTGAACGCAGTCCAATTGTCTAAAAAGCTGTCTGTTGGAAAATACCTCTCAGGAGCCTGTCCCATGCCATGTGTGCTGGTTGAAGAAAGGTTAGAATTACTCATTCAGGATCTACGTGTTGCCATATTAAATGAAAGGGCCATGGTATTATTGTATAATTAATAGAGGAGTTCTGAATTCAAAAATAGTGGACAAGATTCCTAATCCAAACTCTGCATGCCTTTTAATTTGGTGTTGCAGAGCAGTGTTCTTGATTGTAAGAGAGAGTTGCATAAAAAAGATATTTGGCATTGTCCCTAGGTTCATTATCATGATAGGGAACCGGTGATATTTTTGTATACCTAACCAAATGCATTTTTCTTTCTCTAAAGGTGAGTTCATAGACAGACGGTCACTTTGAATGTTTCCTGTGGCACACTGTAGGAATTAGCTGTACAGAGTTAAGAAGGCTTGGCACAGAGGAGACCTTAGAGTCCCCCGTTTTAGCTCAGTCCCTTAAAGGTTAACCAAACATTGCTCCTGCCTCCCATACATGGTTAACTGTATAATTTTTGTAACCCGTATTTCCTTTCCTCCAGTTCTTTATTAGTTTTCCAATTTCTGACTCTTTCCTCAGAGATTTTCTGTTTTTGTTTCCCCTAAGGACATTAGTTATAAAGAAAGAAAGAAATGAGAATTATTGTTTTATGTTAAAAGAACTTGAAATTATATTCTTGTGCATAATGTTGTATTGTAGCATCCAGCGGTAAAATTATAGTGTGAAGCATCATTGCCCAAAGTGCCTTATTTTGCTTCACCTGTCCAGCAGTGATCCACCCGGTCACCTTTGCTTAGACTTGGCCAATGTACTGTTTAATTCAGGCAAGAAATTTGTACCCAAAATCACACTGAACACTTCATCAACTTCATGGCATGAGGCTAGACTTTGGCACAGATCCTAGAGTCTCAAGTTTACCCCAATAACCAAGCTGCAATGTTTTCTAAGATGGTAGTGCAATGGATGAGGAAAGTCAAGATGAGTTATTATTTGCTTCAACAAGAATGTAACGAGTGCTTACGAAGTGTTAGGTGCTGGGAATCGAGGTGAACATTGCCAATATGGTCCCTGATCTCAAAGATATGATGACTTGTGGACTGACTACAAACAGACAGTCTTCTTTAGTAGACAGATGTTTACTAAACAACTGCTATGTTCTCAGGTGCATAGAAGTTACATGCTGGTGCTTTGGCAGAGGAATATGCTCCATTTTTACATTAATAGAAAAAGGTTGCAGACCATAAAGTTTTATAAATTCATTTCTCCCTCTTCTCCTTGTTATCATTATAAAGTTGCTAATAGCATTCGTCTTGATTTCTTGATATAAACTGTTACCTGTCTAGAAATTTTGGTTTTTTTTGCAAAGGTAAAACTGTATTCCTTAGACTTGTGCTGTTCAGTAAAGTTCAATACAATTAAAAATGCAGTTCTTCATTCACATTAGGCACACTTCAAGTGCTGAATTGCCACTTGTTGATGAGTGCTGTTGAGTTGGTTCTGATTCATAGCAACCTTGTATAAGGTTTCCAAGGCTGTAAATCTTTGTGGGAGCAGAAAGCCTCATCTTTCTCCCATGGAGCAGTTGGCACACTCAAACCGTGGACCTTGAGGTTTGTAGTCCAATGCTTACCATATGGAGCCACTGCACTCCCAAATCACCACTTCTTGTTGCTAGGTGCTGTCAAGTTGGTTCCAACCCATAGTGACCCTGTATAGGGTTTCCGAGGAGCGACTGGTCAGCTAG